AATCTTCGACGACCAGTCACTTTCCGTGCGGCTTGATCCCTTGGCGTTGCGTAGAAATGTGGGGTCTCTCTGCATCTTCTACCGCATTTACCATGGAGAGTGTTCAGAGGAGTTGTTCGGTCTAATACCTGCAGCTGAGTTTCATTATCGGACGTCAAGGCAGAATACAAAATACCATATGGTATTGGATAACCACGACGGACGTCGTGGTTAACCACGACGTCCGTCGTTTCTAAGGCAGTTTTGCCGCGCACCACCGCTATCTGGAACCAGCTGCCCACTGAAGTATTTCCGAACCAATTCGACTTAGGGTCCTTCAAGAAGAGAGCGTACCAATTCTTGAAAGGCCGGCAATGTACTTGCGAGCTTTCTGGCAATGTGAGTGTCCATGGGTGGCGTAACCACTTAACATCAGGTGAGCCTCCCGCCCGTTTGCCTCCTATTACACAAAAAAACTAATCTATTATTTGACGGCTCATTGGTCTAGGTAATTTGCTGGTAAGACCAAAGACAATTGAGGAATAACTTCTTTTGACATTGACAGCTTAATTATAACATTTATTATTTGTTTATTGCTCTTTATTCTGATAAATAGAACACTTAAAAAAGAACGATGAATCACCAGCTTTATTCATATGTTGTATAAAACAAAAACATCAACTTTAATAAATAATTAATATGGTTCATATTCACGTGATAAATAAAAAATACCTCATTTGTAAGCGCTTAGGCTAAACAATGCCATCAAAGGCCCAGCATTCAAGTGAATTGCGCGCGACTCCAATACGTGATAAATTGTACAGAACAATGGTGGCTGTGCGACCAGTCGGCGTAAATCACACATATGGACAACAGGCTATGTAAAGTGAGGATGTGATGTCTAATCGTTCAGAAACATGCGTGTATTAATTAAATTCTCTTAGCTTTGCCTGTGTAGATTCTAAACTAGATATGTACACAATTAAAAGTATTCTAAGCTTTGATTACATATAAAGAAATTTTATACAAATATTAGTTTTCTTCATCATCGGTTATTGTCAAGTTCAAAATAGTCTAGAGAATGATCAAAAACTACGCCCTTGATTTGAGAACTGGCACTAAATGTAAAATTAGAAGCATTAATATGTATTACTTTACTGACAAGTCATAAGTGTACAATGTGTTACCCATATGATTAAATGATTATGACTTAATCAATGAAAAATTTAATAAAAGAATTAAAGAACTAATTACTAATTAAAGAATGAAAATGATCAGTTTTGAAAACCTTTGATACATGTTTTCACATAATAAAGGTTTTCCATTTCTAAAATGAAATCAGATAATTTAAGTAGTGATAATTAAGATATACATATTTAATTAATTCCTACGTTTAAAGATTTCATTGAAATAAGTTTATTAAGCGTGTCTAACAGTCATTTCAAGCAATTTACGAACAAATGTCGTCGGATTTCATGATAATTCTCTTTGCGAGTTGGCACCCTTCAATTATTAAAATATTCCATTTAATATAAGCTTTCCGTATAATTCAAAGAACTTCTTAAAACGGTAATGTTTGTTCTTAATTAGAAAATAAAGTGAGGAAGGATTTATTAAAATATAAATAACACAAGTGACTTTGTCAGCTGAATGATAATTAAAAACGAAAAACCTTTTTCTATCTTACGAAACACAACATTTTGGTGATGGTATTATAATTCCATGCACGATATATATATATATATATAATATGTAAAATTACTAAAGTGATATGATCTAACCTATATTGACTACAAGTTTGTGTTTTGTTCTCTATAATGTATGTGCGTCCTTCTATTTTGCCCGCAGATGTTCTTTTGTTGTTATGATTTTGTTTCAATATGTCAAGTGAAGCATGGCGTAACGGTTGCAGTTCCTTCCAATTTCCTGGTATGCCAAAACTTGTCGATTAAAATAGTGTCGGAGAGTTTCTTGCTAGTTCGTCTCACACTTGATGTAGGAACTGCTAATAAATGTAAATTTAGATTTAATTTTTTTATATATTGACGTTAATAAGTGTTCATAGTTAAATATGACTAAATACATTTTGATTTGGTTTGATAGGATATAATTTTAAGAGACGTGCTACTTTTCTGATGCATATATAAAACCGGTGCTTGGCCGCCAACTGAATCGCGGATATGCCTAGCCTTAATAATTTATTTATTTTATGCATTGTGACACAGAGTATTGAGTATTTTTGACCTTTGATTCTCGAAATAGTTGACGTGATCTATATTATTCTGACAATTTTGTTTCTTAATATAAAGTAACTTTATACTGAAAATAGGACCATAAACAGTAATACTGTGTTTTACTCCACATTCAAAAAATAAAAATAATCATCATTATATTCAAATCAATTTGTGTATATTCATAGTTTCTTTTGACTTTGAAAAATCTATCTCGTATCGTGTTCCAATTTCAAATTTATGTAAAGTGAAAATTTTCTTATTTTTCGCATGATATTGTATGCTGCGTGATTGGTATTGTTCAGACAAAATAGATATCGGCTTGTACATTACATTCACGTATGCCTACGAATATAAAATTTGGTGAACTAAATTGAAGATTGTGAATCTGAAAATAACGCGAAAATTATTATATTTGTGTCCTTTCATGTGTGTTAGTACAATTTTTAAAAGCTATCGAGTGTGCTGTTATATATATTAAGAGGGAATACGAAGTTTTTCAACCCATTTTTTATTACATAAACCTCAACAATGTATTAAATACTTTATTCGAGAATTATAGGGATTTATTTATCTATCTGAAGAACGCCCTAACTATTGTAATTAGTTGGAAATCAAGACTATAAAGAGAGTATAGTAATATAGAGAATTGCATTTAACATAACAATAGAAAATTAGTAACAAACAAAATGAAACTGCACTTTTTATACATCTTTTTATATTTCATGTTCGCGTGTATGTAAAACTGAACAAAACTGAAACACCTTAATTTACAGATATCTACGTAAATAACGCTATATATAAATAAAGTTTATACAAACAAGATAAATGCCGTAAAACTATAAAATGTTACGACAAATATTCATATTTGCTTTTACTGCCAGCGGTTTATGTGTCCTTTATGTGGCAACCTTTGTTACAGGACATAGGCACTTGATTCCACAACAATTTGTACTCATTGAACCTGCAGCTTTTCAATAGACTTTTGGGAACCACAAATAATGAAATAACAATACAAACAATATTGATCATATTAATGAGCGAAAAATTATAATCTTTTTGTATTTGTGTTTATAGAACTTCGTATATTAAATGTTTTGAATTTGACTAAGAGTTCGGATTTTGCCCCCTGCCTTACACGGTGTCATTAACAAGGCATTAACAATAGCTGAGCTTTTTAACGTTACATTAATTTTAGGTATACTTTTAAAAATATTATGTCCAACGTTACGATATTGCTTAAAAAATCTTACAATAATAATAATATTATAAATAATTCTAGAATGTAGTCTATAAATATGTATATACATTCATACCGCGCAACAACCTAAAATTGTGGTCTCAGCCGGTTGGTTATCAGCCTTTTGTACTTGACACACACCGTCGACTTTTTGGGTTTAAGGCATGCCGGTTTCCTCACGGTGTTTTCCTTCAGCGTATGAGCGAGTGTTTAAAGCACACAGCCTGTGATCGAACCGGGTCGGATCGGATGAGAGTCAAAATAAATGACAGGAAAATAAAAATTAAACCAAACCAAACTTTATATCTTAAAATTTATTAACAACCAACATAAACACGCATCTATTCGAGTCATACAACATTAAAATATCATTCATAGGTATATCTTTGGCAAGTCAACTTTTATAATTAAAAAGCCTCATACGATAAAATAATTAATTAGGATAAAACATAAATTAAGTAGGAGTCTTATATAGCTTATCCTGACTTTGATTGCGGGAAAGGTAAAATTTTTATATTCCCCGGTAGACCAAAGAGTACTGATTCATCACAAATTCAGCAAGATATAAAACAAACTCATATAATATTCATAACACAACTTACTACTCAAGTAGGTAACAGAATTTTTCCCTCGTGAGATCAAACCGAGACAAATGCATATTAAAATCTGAAAAATTAACAATAAACAATTGAATACGCCCCAAAAATAACCAAAACCAGAAATAAAACTCTTATAAAAAGATATCACATAGTCCTGTATACAATGATATGTGGCGATGAGCTTTGAGCCGTGGTAACAGAAATGAAAGTAGCAAATAAACTAATCTAAAATTGCATTTCACTATTATGTACATTTTTCACTTATATTACGAGTCTTCATATAAATAGCTGGTGTGCAACATACAATTGGGATTGAGAATATACTTTTCAAAGTTCCCAAGAAGTATCAAAATTGTTTTAGCCGTACAAAATTCACTTATAAATATATATTTATTAATTTCATTGAATTATCCGTTAGTCCATGTTGTTTTCATAGAGTCACGGTCTGCATTTGGAGAAACTTTGGCACTAAATAAAAATTTTAGATATGATAACGATAGTATTGGTAGGTTTTTATATTTTTTACTTAAACAGTAAACGGTAATAAAACAACCCCTTACAGAGACTAGTTAATAGCATCTACGGCATTTCAGTATAAAAATTAATTTTACAGGAACTCATGTTAAACTTACACTCAAACTATTCGCTTTAAATATACCAAATTGTACATTGCAAGTAATAAAGTAGTAAATAGCGATTAATTCTTCTAGCAGAGATTATATTGGAAAATCGTGAGCAATTTTCATTTAGTTTCATAGTTCGTTTGCAAACTAATTTTTGCTTCCAACACCATTTAAACTCTTTACAGGCTTGAAGCTAGCGAGTATCGTATCCCAACACAAATTGTCTATAATGCTCGACTGATAGTCCTTAACAATGCCAATTACTGGCTAAACACTCAAATTGCACATAGTTCCCGACTCTGAACATTATATCACGTCACGTATTTCATCATACAATGTCATTAAGTTCATTTTGTAAAGGATTTTCAGCTTTTTCAACACATTTTCTGATAGCATCAAGAACGGTGACCAAACGTCGGTCTAAAGCAGCTAAGTGTGGCTCCCACAAGATTGGGGAGACCGGATCAACCCTCATTGACTCCCGGAGAACCGAAGATAGTGGTACTCCGTTGTGGTATCTTAAAAAAAAAACCTTCTTAATAATGATAATGTGCCGTAAACCTGAAAGATTTACGGCATATTTAAGTACCCACATAGTAAGGGTTCAAGTACCCACATTCCAAACCAACATTTTTGGAAATTATGATAATAATAAAATTCAAGCCAAAGTTGGGCTGCCACTTAAAATATTTATATAGTTCAAGTATTTTGTCATATTTTCGAATGAAAATAAAAAAATATTCAAACACCTATTATCGCCGTTTCGTGTATTAGCGGAACGCTTGTAATGTATGGTAACCTACTTTTTGTCACACACACACACCCAAAATCAAAATCAAGGTTTTTTTTTAATTTAAAACAGTTGCCAACACAAGTTAAAATCTTATTTAGGGCTAAATAAATATTACTCACTTTAGAAGTACAGCGAGTGTAGTATGCCGTACGAGGCAGCATTGCAGCAGCGGTGCCAAAATGCTGAGTTCATCATGAAGAGCCTTTCCAAAGGCCCTACCCTGATCCAAATGCAGGGTAAATGTTTCGTTTCCAAACATTCTGGAAGAAATTATATGAAAGTGAAGAATCACTTTACTATCTTCAACAACTTATATTATTCAACGACACATAATATTATCCCATAGATTTAGTAAAGAGGTTTTTATAGGTTTATTTGTAATTGACATTTGCCAAGAAATCGGTAAAATTTTTGTAAATACAAAAACTTTTTACTTAAATTTAAAAAAATCTTACACTTGTAAAAATTATGTAGGTTGTATAAAGAGATTTTTAAAAATTACTAGTGTCTAAAAATTCTGTACTTACTTAAAAGTTTCGTAATGATGTCTGTCCATATTACCCGTAAGGAAATCAAATATGGACATATCCATTAGATCCAGGAGTCTTCTACCTGAATCGTATGGTGGAGTTGTACGGACCTGGATAAATTTATTACCGGATATTGAATAAACCATTAAAATATATGTAAAAAAACTAACAGTATTACGCGATATTTATAGAAAACTTAATAAACATATATATAACATATATACAACCGATGAATCTCTCACTGACCACAATTGAGGAAAAGCATGAGTAATGTAAAAAAAATAGTTTTAATTTAACTGTATCTTCTCTAAAAATACTATGATTAGTTCAACAGAAGTAAAAAAATAAACAAGGTAAGGCAATTCTAACTTCATTAAAATTAGAAATAATATTTCAGTGTTAACAATTTTATAGCTAATTGATAAAATTTAAAGAACGCGTTAACTATAATTATGCGATTGGTGTTAAATTAAACAGTCTCAGGCGAAATTAAATACCAAGACAGTATTATGAATTTATGATTAGACAGACAAAGCCATATTATTTGAAAGCATGCTACGTGATTATGGATTCGGCTAATCTGTAACCGTTTTGTATCACGTGAGTAACGTTACGTAACGTTAAAATTAATTATAAAGTTTTAATAGATTAATCTTGCCAAAGCCGCGTACAAATTATTTGAAGAAGTCTAGTAACTATATAAGCGTGTTTAAGCAATTCAAAAGGGCGTTAAAGATATTAAATTCCTCATGTAAAAAAAATATTTTTTATAATGAGTAACTCGCGATTTAAAGCCATGTTTGATACGGATTACTCTCTCAATAACACTTTATTTTTTAAACTATCAAATAGCCTATTATATTTTACCTACCTATATAGTATAGTTTTATAGTATTTAAATTATATTGTGTAAAGTTAATTTGAACAATAAGCAAACTAGAAATAATAAATTACCGTATCGCAATAATCCGACTGCAATTCCCACTGAGCTTTTCGTCGTTTGTGATACGATCGCCTCCACGGGTGTCTCCATACCTGGAAATATCAGAACCATACTTGTACTCGTCTGTTTTATTGATAATCATGAAAAGGTCAAATAAGAATAACTAAAACAAAGGCTTCGCAAAGATAAACATCACAGCTCTTATTATATTTGTTCAAGAAACAATTTCCATACATATAAAAAAAAAAACATAATTTTCATTAGAATAATCTAAGTACTACTAGGCCTAAGCCTATATATATTGAAATAGTCAGAATCGATTATTCAAATGAAAAAGTTCTTAATTCAAAAAGAAAACGAAGTGTAATCTGTGGTGCATGGTCTATTTCATTTATCACTTTACTCTACAGACAACCATTTATTCAACCAAAACAATTTATTGGTTCGATGGAAATCAAAGCCTGAATTTTCGTCCTATACTGTTTGTTACTAATTTAGATATTTTTAAGCTTACCTATTAAAGTGGACCCAATAATCAAGAATCTTATTAGCGAATTACCACAATCAATTAAACAAACACCGTTTCATACATTTTACACTCTCGTAACAACGTACCTTTCGTTCAGCTAGATCCGAGGACGGTAGGAACGCTGCGAAGCTCCCTTCTAACATATCTGGGTTGCCACAAATCGCGTGACCAGTATCACAGTAGTAGGAGCATTTTCCATGAAAGCAAAAATTGTTTGCTGGCGACACGAAAAATGTCTTGAGGATGTCGCCCTCCGTCACGTCATATATTTCCGTCGTCATGTTTAGAACTCGACCGACAACTGGCATCGCTCTCCGGAAGCCGAGTATTCTGTGAAAAAAGCATACGTGTATAGTACAAAATATATAACCGTTCAACCAATCAGCGCGCGAGTTGCGATCCGTTTCACAATTTGACGGTTTCACTTCGATAGATTACAATCTACCGAATAATAATACGTAAAATTGTAAGCAGTACGCTGAGGTTCACAATCTTTCGACAGTTTATAATCTCGCGAGATAGATTACAATCTAACGGTGTTTACAATTTTACGTTAACATATATAATTCAGTCAGTTACGTCTCGGACAGCTTTTCTAACACACATTCAATTGTCTATTTGAGGAATAAAAAACAACATCATTCAATAATGCATATATGATATTTTATCTATAAAACGCACAGTATCGCCACTACGTAGATTGTATGTGGAGTTGCACACAAATTAAAAAGCACAGGTATCATTCAGAATCCTAGTTATTTTTAATTTAAGTATCAATACATAGAGTGGCGCGCTCGCAATTGTTTATTGTTTTGTTTCAAATATTAATTATTGAACTTTGAAAGGATAAACTAACAATGTCGTAATTTTGAATAGTGTTTCTTCCTATATTATACACGTTTAGAGACCATTCTCAAGAAATAAAATAACACGAGAATTAGGTAATTATTACTAGAGTTTAAACTAATTCACGCTAGCAACTAAAAGGCAATCTTTCTTGATAAATTAGCAAAAATTGCTAGTATTATGTTCCGGTATAAAATTGACAAGGCATAATTTGAATTTAATATTCATTCTTATGGTTCAGTTCATTTACCAATTTTATAGTGCATGACCGAGTTTTTGATGAACACCGAAAATCTGTCTATTGAATAAATCCTATTACATCCGGTTCCTTTCGATCTAAAATACCAGTTGAAATTGCAATCAATAGTTTTTATAAACTGTATTCAGTGCAGTGTATTTATAGCTTTAGAATGTAAATACAATTTGAGTTTATTGTTAAATAAGTTTCTATTTAGGCATAATAAGTACTTTGTTCTATTACCTTAGTTAAGCGGTAATGGCAGTTAAAAACATCTTTTATTTTTTAAATATATATGAACAATTTTATAGAAACTTCTTCGTATGTGCCACGTGGGGTCCCATATTATATTATTATTACTTTTATATTAGATCATTCATCATGCATCAGTTTTTAACATAAATTTTGGTTAAAATATTTAAATAAGAATATAGATATTGAGAAAAACATATTTATTACAAGTCACACCTGTTTCTCAAAGGGGTAAACAGAGACCTTAGACCACTTTCATAATATTCACCCTGAGAAGAAATAATCATACTTGATATTTGCATTCTATTAAGATTTTTACCTGTCCAAATGAAACGCGGCAATTTCAGCATTGTGACGCTCATAGTCCGAGAAGTAGAAGTGATTTGGCAACGTTTGGACGTCTCTTGCAAATCTGTGAACAAATGATAATTAAATTTAAATGTGTCATTCAATTGCGTCCCTTTATTACTCTCTTTATGGCTTTATATAATTTCATAAGTCATTTCACAACATTAGTTTGAGTGGAAAGTATAACCAACATTATATTCAAAGCCATAAGATTGTTTTCTATAGTAATATTACGTCTGTATGTACAATCACGACGCAGTCACATTCGCAATGACTCTAGAAGGTCTATCTATCTATTTTTAAATATTTCATTTTGATAGTATGTAACACTAAATGAAAGTTAACGCAATAAAAGAACATGGTAACAGCTAATAAATAGTATACACTGTGACGTACCAACGGGCAACAGAGTATTTTCTTAACTGGTACGTACTGACCGAGCGTAGTTTTTAAAGCATTTTATTTACACAGAGTTACAGCGGTGGTACTTAATATTGTATATCAAAGAGATTTATTTAGTCCAATTCGACCAAAATTTGGATTTTCGGTTTTGTGTTTAACCGAAGAGGGGTCCCTATAAATCTACATATCTCGTTATATACATACATATGTACTTGTAAATCAAGGTATGGAAACTAGCTGTATATTATTTAACGCGTGGTTACACCCACTCATTGTCCGCTGTGTTAGTATGTAATGTTTGTAGAGATTCCGGTCATTATATAATAGCTTAAAGGTAATGACTATTTTGTATTCTAGTGTTAAAATGTGATGTTGCATACAGCTTCAATAATCATAGACTTATGTGACATTGTCGAATGAACTTTTTATACTTCTACTATTTAAATATTTAAAGAAATTTTAATAAAACGTATGTGATCATTAATTAACTACTTGATTTCTTAACTTAACTTTTCCGTGTTTTTATAACAAATTATAGCATATAAGTGATTAGTAAAACGGAAAAGCAGGCACATATCATGGAGATTCTTTTGGCAAGCAATAACTGAAGGACCGTTAAAACGCAAAGTGTATTTTAGTAGGGTAGACTTTTTTACTTTAATTAGGAACCTTTCGCGTTACGAGGGTCTGTTTAAATCATGTATAAGGTCTGCTTTCAGGTTTGATTCCCGGTCAGAGTGATTATTGAATTCGATTTCTGTCTCTGTATCTTAGAATCCTACCAAATAGTTGAATCTTTCACATGTCTGATACTAATTTCACTGTTATATAAGATAAAGATGTATATTAAAAACCAAATATAATATGTATGTATGCGTAAGTCTCTTCGGAAGAAGAGCTAAGCTCTAAAGAGCCTTAAGGCGAAATTTTTTAGACTCCCATAAATGCAACCAAAATAATATACTCTATTATATATATATGTATCAGTAATGAGAAATGATATTTCATTGACACTATTCCCAGTAAAATATAATTAAAAGAAGTTCTTATAAAAATATAAGCGATACTATGTGTAAGATAGAGCACGAATCGTCACAAGTATTACGATAAAATCGTTATTATCTAACAAACGTGTTTAACAAGTGATCTTCATTGAGGATATTGAACTTATTTTATCGATTATCATACCAAACTGTTGATAACCATTTTTATAATGGACATCAGCAATGGATATTCTAAATTCTTATTGTCTCTCTATGTAGCTAGACAATTAAAGTATGTAATGTATGTATATTGTATGTGATGTTTAAAAAATACTAGAAAACATTTCAAAATTACACACATAGGACATCATCCTCCTGGAAAGTACAAATAACATAATTAAAAAATATTACTGAAAAACATATGAAAGCGAGGACAAAAATATATGTAAATAAAACGCAAAATAAAAAATAAACCTAAATAAATACTTAAATTAAGAGTACGGTGAGTGAAAAGTTTGTTATGAAAAATAGACAAGGTTTTATGGAGCGGACTAATATTATTGGCGTTTACTCTAATTAATTTAATTATATAGATGTTATTTCACTAGTAAGAACAAACTCACCAAGAATCAACGCAGGTAATTCTAGACACACATAGAGTTATACAATAATCTGTCTTATAATGTTAAAATGTTATTACAAGTAAAGCATTCAAAATCTCGGTAAAAAATTTATCAAAAATACAAATTATGTAGAAATTATCTTCAAAAGTCTACCGTTTGTTGATCGCACTAAAAAAGTATTGATAACAGTTATTATCAGGTACCGATAACGATAAACCAATCAGCCGTACAAGGAAGGGTTATGTCTTCGAATTTATCGTCCCTATGCGTGGACACTGGACTTGATATGTCGACGGGATAAACCCAAGAGAACATAATTTATTTTGTAAATCACTTGGAAGTGCGACTTCTATGTAAACTAACAGAAACTAAAAAAGGAGGCCGCTATGAAAAGTTCTTTTTGTTTTTTGAATTGTTAAAAATGTCTATTACAACTTAAATTAGACTTTTTCTCTGTTGGTACCTGTTCATTGCTGGCGGAGCTTGACTGTCAGTCTTGTGAAGCGTGCCAGATGCAGTATTAAATTGGTGGAATAGTAATAATTCGTAAATCTTATACTTACAACAATATTACAATAAACGTTGAAACGCGATATGTTACCGAACATATACAATCAAATATGTACGCAAAATAATACCCAAATTATTACTATTTGTCTAATCTTCGTGATGCGTAATTCGTGGAATATCGTTTAAGTTGAATCGGATATATGCTTTTACGTCAGTAGAATTTGTAGTAGTATAAACAGATACAATGCATTATACATGTTATACAGTAATTCCAATAAGCGATAACAGAAAAAGCATGGCGATAGAATTCACTAGCTTAACAATAGGTAACAATTGCACAATGGGGGACTTAGGAAAAACTCGCGTTTTACTTCAATAACACTTGTAGTTGGCGAGACTAAGCCGATCACGGGAACTTCCCAACTCGCCTGAATGGTCACAACTTTAAGAACCTCACGAGTAAGCACTCAAAACTAGTACATCGCTCGTGCATAGAAAAACATGGACTACGTAAGCAAACTGCTTGAGTAGCACTCAAGAGAAGTTTCGCATCCAACAATCAAGCTTTAGGAAGAATTCAGGGATAATAGAGGCTCTTTGATAAAATAATATATAATACTAGCTGACCCGGCAAACGTTTTCCCATGTATATTATTTCTAGGAAACATTCAAATAATCAAAAATTATCTTCTATAATACGTAGAGGGGTGAAAATTAAGGGTTATGTGTATTTTGTATGCTGTATCTTAAAAAAATAAAAAAATTTCTAAAAAATATAATTTTTTTTTGGGGTGGACAACCCTTATCACTTAGGGGTTTGAAAGATAGATAGTAGCCGATTCTCAGACTTACTGAATATGCATAAAAGATTTCATAAGAATCGGTCGAGCCGTTTTGTAGGAGTATGGGAACGAACATTGTGACACGCGAATTTTATATATTAGAAGATATTATATTGGAAGCTTTTGTGAAATACATTGTTTAATTACATCTATCACTTTAAGGAACACGAAATGCATCGTAGATTCTATTCATAGTGACACCGTGTTAATATTTCTTATTATACAACTATAAACTTTAGTTTTGTGTAAGTCTAACTTTAATTTTGTGTAAGTCAATGTCATTAAACATTTTTAGTGGTAGTAGTATTTTCGTAGTGGCGTCCATGCGTCGGGTTGTCTCTCTCCCTAAAATATGGCGAGGGGGCCGATGGCTGGCCATGCGTCATACTCGTGACCGGGTGCTACTTGTGGTGACTGGTCGTACTTGAATTCGTGTATGCGGTGATGTTAATTATTTCGACTATGTGTTTGCGTATTGTTCCCACGAGAATGTATGTGCGTGCTCCTATTTCACCATGCCTCCTGCTGATAGAGGACAACTCTTTGTTTTTAATTTATGTTATTATTATTAATTACTTAAGATGTCATGTGGAACATGGTTTAATGGTTGCAGATCCTTACAAACGTTGTGTAAAAAAAAAACATGGCGATTAAAAAGAGTGGCGGAGAGTTTATTGCCAGTTCTTCTCTTCCGTTCTACGCCCTTGATTTGAGAATTGGCACTAAATGTAAAATTAGAAGCATTAATATGTATCTCTTTACTGACGAGTCATAAGTGTACAATGTGTTACCCATATGATTAAATGATTTTTGAATTTTTGAATTTTGAAGTCTCTTTTATTCGTAGAATTATGCTCAAAAACAGTTCTTATTGCAATAGATATAATATTTTGTCAGATAATAAGTTGTTGTATACAACAGTGTTTTCGTAAATAGTAAGAATGTAAAAAAATCATATGAAATTTATTTATACCTATTAAACATTACGACACTTTAATAGAATTAAACGTTTCACAGGTAACCTTATTAATTATAAATAACGTGTGCTTCGAAACAATATAGTGTGTGAAAAGTTCCTGCTCATAATGAATCATTTCTATGTCAACAAACGGCTTACATTCTTAGATTGACACCTAACTTATAAATGGCTAAGCTAATCAATTACTATAGAATCAAATTACTGTTTATCTATGATATATAAAGTATAGACGGACATTTTTATATGTACAAATATGGATTAGTAACTTAGTGTCGAACCAAAAATGTATGTATGTTTTGCGGCGTACCTATGCCTTATATCTATATTAATGATTATATTGGTATAAATTCACATGCATTGTATTAAAGCAGGGAGTATTAAATGTATCTTCGAACATTAAACATCGTTCTTATTTAGTCCCGTCCTTACATGGCGACCCTGCCAGCAGATTCATCGTAACATAAAAAAACCATTAATTCTAACTAAAGGTATACAGAAGTTATCACGTCTCAGAAAAGGGATATTTTTTGGTATTTTATTGATTTTTAAAAAGTTCAGATGAAATTAATTTGATATTGCGCAAAAAGTCCTAAGAAATATTTGTCGCAAGCAAATTATCAGTGCTCAATAATTGAAGAACTGTTTCGCAAAAGCAATTGTTCCCAATTAACTTTTCCGATACCAGAACCTTCATTTTGTAAGCTTCCTAGCATAATTGATTAGCGACCCTCAGGTTTTTATTTGGTTTGTTATAAAAAATATTTTTCAGTAATTAAATATTTATTTAATGAATGAACATAAAGTCATCACCAAGACAAAAGCCACGGTCTTAGGCTAAGCTTCGGAAACTCCCGTAAATCAAATGTTAGATTTCTGTATCTGTTTCGTGTTTCTGATAGACAAACTGATTAGCTTTGTGTACCTGATACACGCTGTAGACTTTTTGAGTCTGAGCTATGAGAGTCGCACGATGATACCACTAGGCCAACACTGCTCCTTAATTTATGGTAAAACTCTTAAATAAACAATATTTTATTTTTTCTATAAAAACATACACATATTAAGTAAGCAAAACTTGCTTTTTAATAAATATCTTTTATCGGCTTTAGAGTATTCGTTGGAATACTGGGAAACTTAAGGAGCACTTCTATTTAAATGTTATAATGCTGAAGAGTTTGATTGAACGCGCTAATCTCAGAACCTACTGGTTCTAAAAAATGTCTTGGAGAGTCCATTGATTGAGCAGGGCTTTATAATAGTTACGTCTACGGCCGAATGAAGGCGCATGCAACCGGAGTATAGATAATGATTAATTCATTAGTGTAAGATTATAAAACGATTATTAGATTATTACGCTTCTTAAAATGCTTTTAAAATCCAGGATTATTACCGGACAGATAGGAAGCGCACTAATGAACGCAACCGCTACCGCCAGCCAGATTGCCCAGACTCTAACCGAAAGTGCAAGAAGGAAGACATATCACAAAATCAGCTGACCTAAAATTCTTTCTTTTCAAACGTTGCTACCTCCCGTACTATTAGTTATAAACGTCAAAACTTACCTCATTGGCTTGAACAACGCTTGCACTCCATTTGGGTAGTCAATAATTAGCTTCAGTTGCGTGCCACCTTCTTTTTGCTCTGTAAAGAATTATTTCTACTTCAAAACACTTAAATCTTTTATACTTTTAAAGAAAAAACTGTTTGACCGGATTGAAGTTATGTATTATTATAAATTTACAACTATTTAACATAATTTTAAATTTATTATTTAACATTATTTTACGTACATTAGGTCACGGTGACCACGCACGCTGTAAAGCACGCGAAACGTCGGATAAATTTAAAATTATGTTAAATAGTTGCAAATTTATAATAATACATAACTTCAATCCGGTCAAACAGTTTTTTCTTTAAATGTGTAAAGGTTATGTAAATCAAAGACAATACTATCTTTTATACTGTAACTTTTCATTCGGAGTCCAAGACACTTTTGGGTCCCAGAGCCAGCGGAGTTAATCTTTAATGTCATCTTATTTTTTGTATTAGTCAAAATTAATAAATTTTATCGTGAGGAGCGATTTTAAGTTCTAGAACTTCACTCTTGACATCTCCGCGTTGTAAATAACAATACAAATAATTATCTCTCTGAAAAAACGCCCCAAGTAAAAATTAAAACAAAATACAACCTTCAAATCGATATTTACAATTAAGGCTAAACTTGAAAGTTGTCTAATGAAATTCAATCGATCTGGAACCGGAATAAATTATACAATAATTAATCTAAAAATAAAGGGTAGTCTACATGATAAAGTCGGTCCGACAATGAAATCCATTTAAGGGATTTAAATATTCAAGTCCAATTGGAAGTATAAGGGCAGATTGTTGTGCCACTATTGTCCGTCGACCGCTAACCCCACAACTGATTGCGGGACCCGACTTCATTTAATATACATACCTTGCCCCAAGCTTTGTACACAGGTGAAAATCTATTTCCCAACTATCGCAATAGAGAACTCTAAGCAAAAGAAAAGCGGTTGACAAAGTGCATCTAAGGGTTGGGTCTGCGTTATCAACTGCTTTGGCTCACGCATCCTATTGTAAATTATTTTAAAATTTAAAGATCAATCGAAAATTCTACGCAGTATAAACACACCCCGGATCTGGACGCTTTTTGTTGACTCCAATATATTTTTGTGTTATAGGAGGCAAACGGGCAGGAGGCTCATCTGACGTTAAGTGATACCGCCGCCCATGGACACTCAAATTGCCAGTAGGCTCGCAAGTGCATTGCCGGCTTTTCAAGAATTGATACGCTCTTTTCTTGAGGGACCCTAAGTCGAATTATTGACGACTCATTGGTCTAGTGGTTAGTACCCCTGACTGCGAATCCATGGGTCCCGGGTTCGATTCCCGGCTGAGACGAACATCGATGTGATGAGCATTTGGTGTTGTGCTTAGGTCTTGGGTGTTTAAATGTGTATTTATATGTCTATCTATCTATAATATGTATGTATTTCCGTTGCCTTGTACCCATAACACAAGATTCACCAGCTTAGCATGGGACTAGGTCAATTGGTGTGAATTGTCTTTAAAAAAAAAATTGGTCGGAAATACTTCGGTGGGCAGCTCCACATAGTGGTGTGCCTTAGAAAACGCTCAGTTAATTGAGGTTATAAATTAAATGTTTTGTTTGGATTTGGTTTGTGTATGCTTTATTGTAAGTTAGACAGATAAAACTACTGTAGCGAGAACAACAAACCATGTTATGGTGAAATAAATATATCGAGAGCTCCAGAGTTAACAAAAATAAATAAACTATCTATAATGAATATCGGCAACTTATTCGTCAATCCTGATGTTAGAACGACTAATAAATATCATTCTAATTAAACTCCATTTATAGAGATAACAAAATATAAATCACAGAGAACTGGGCTAAAATTATTAATGTCAATTTGCTTGAGTAAGGTAGGTGTAGACTAAATCGCAAGAACGATATTAAATGATACAGTTTAAATTCAAATTCACTCATAACCTGTTCTTGGTAAAGTGATGTAACATTTCGTAAATCGGCCTATAGTTACAACAATTTCTTTCTTGTTACATATTAATTCTGTTGTCTAGGATCAACTTTGTAAAATCCAATATCATATATATTTGAGAAAATATTTACGAAACTAGCGTTTATTACGAATAATAAATAATCTAGAGGCTATGCTTTATGGGTCTGGGCATCATAGTGTATCTGTTTCTGAATTCTGTAATCATTAAAGTACTAATAAGTATCATTTGTGACACATGTCGTCGATATTTGGGTCTAAAACATGACGGTTTCCTCACTACTTGGATGTTAACCGTACGAGAAATTTTGCACATGGAAAGAAAAATTGATGCACCGCTGGGATTTGCAAGCACGACTTTAGGGTTAAGAGTCGCACGCATAAAAACAAAGTCAGTCCAATTACACCAATTTAACCATATTCTTTTGTCTCTTTTCATTATAGCGGAAATACATTTTGAAGGAAAGTGACAAAAGAGTACTATAAAACAACAAAACAATGAAATAGTAACTAATTTAAAGAATAAAAATAACGGGAGCACTCCGGGAGTGCCGGCAGAAGTGAAAACTTCAATATTAACGTTGTGTTTAATTATAAGTATAAAAGTACTATCATTTATGAGGTAGAATACAATGTTTATTTATTGCGCTATCGTACACAAATATGACAATTTATATGTTGTTATTTATAATATTATATCGTTTTTTATATATTACATTAAATTTTATCTCTCAGAAAAATCAACTTCCATCCATAATTTCGACGACTTTTACACCATCGTTATTATCAGAATCATCATCGCAAATTTTTACAACTGATACAATTGGTTTATGATAACTGAAGTAAGAAACAAACAGTTTTGATTCGAACCTATTTAAGTGTCTAATAAAGACCGTACTCATTTGCTTTCACTACTTCATCATCACTTTTTTCATTAATAGATTCACTTTGTTCGATTTCCATAATTTAAACAATTCACATTTACGAATACACAACAGTGTATTTACTACACAACAGTCAAGCAATCAGCTGTCACCATCCTTGGATACGCGTGGGACGCTGTACATAAACACACACGGTCATTCGCGCAAGCGCCCTGTGCCGCCTAAACAGAGCAGCACACTCAGGCACGGTAGAAAGAGTGGGAGATACTAGTTCCTCTCCCTTCCCCTCGATCTTACGCTTTTTCGATCAGCATCACGTGACCCTGACGCAAGTTTGAAAGTTTTTACCCATACAAAAAGTGCTCAGCGCCGCTAAAGAAGTTTTCACTTCAAAAATTCTAAGAAATGCATAAACAGTGTGAAAATAAATGACAAATGACAAGACACGATCCCGCAAATTACGTAAATGAACTGTTTTTAGTTTACATACCAACGTGTAAGATTGGTGACGTCTCCATATCTTTCAGGATATCTTCAACTAACTTTTCGCCGTCTTCATACAACTCATGTTGTGCGATTTTCAGTTGAAACTTCTCCAAGTTCGATGCGTTGATACTGCAAACAAATTACTCTTATACGTATAGTTAAATCTATATTCGATCAATACCTGATATTATCAGTATGATAAAAAGTAGATAGAATAAGACATAAATAGCGAATTGAATTACTGATTATTTATTAGTACAGCCTTGACAATCTAGAATGACCTTGAAGTGGTATAGACTTTCAAAAATATTTCTGTCCAGACCTCGTAGGTTTGGTGTATTAATTTTGCTAGAAATATTAGTTCCTCACACAGTAAACATTAAAAATAATTTTTAAATACCGAATATCTGCAAGGTTTAAAATATTCTAAATTTAAATTTTGAATCTGTCAGAGTTAAGTAGTTTATACTGATACCATCCAGTAATCATTATTGCATAAATAACAATCATCTTAAAACCAGATTGCACCACTTAATACAAGTACATTTTTAAATATACAAGTTCAATGCATTTACTAATAGGAAAT